TAGTGGCTTCCTTCACCACCACCCCTCTGGGTGCCGAATCCTCGTCCACCACGGCCGCGACCTCTTCCTCGGCCACGCCCTCTTCCTTGACGCCCTCCCCCACGGGCTGCAACAGCCGCGTAACTCCCCTCCTCAGCTACCGGTTTGTTGGGTTCATCGAGACCATAGTCAACCTGATCCCAGGAGATGGTCTCGGCACCTCCTTCTTCAAAGGTTAGAAGGAGACTGTCTTTCCCAAGTATAGACCCTGAGATAGTGCGGTTTTKCCATCTCTTTCCCGCTTGCAGATCCTTCCAATAATGACAACAGTTCGCCTTGGCGAGGAAGCCGAAATGATCTATGACGATCTTGCCGAACTTCTCGTATGTCATCCCCTCCTCTTTGGTACGGGGATATAGTTGCGCTCTTAGGGGATCCGGGAGTGCCCGTGCAAAACTGTTTAAGATTTGGGCTGGCGTTAATCCATGATCAGGGCATTGCAATAGTTCATCCATAGTTACCTTTAATGCAGACGTAGTCTTCCATTTCCTATCGGGGAGGCTCAGGATCAACATTTTTGTGCGCCTTGCCAGGTTCTTGTCCTCAAATCTCTCTCTTATCACTTTTAGGAAATCTTCAATACGGGTCTGTTGTGAATAATCTACCATAGAGCTGCATCCCGCCTCCTTTTGCAGCGAGATGGCAAAGCTCATGGCGTCGCCCCCCATGCACGAAGTTGCCATCAACACCCTGTCCCAGTATGGGATACGCTGTCCGTACACATAGGTTTCAATTGCCGCTGCCCAATGCAGAACACTTTCCTCTTTCTTTCCGTTATAGGTCCATGGCAGTTTAAGTTTGATCTTACTAACCTGCCCAGTTTCCTGAGGAAGTTTATCCTGTGGATCCCCAACCTTCTTTTTCCCTTTCTTATCATCATCGTCGTCGCCATCTCCATCTCCTCTGTCGCCTCCAGTTCCCTTTATAATCTTCTCTACGACTTCCGAGGTGAAGACTTTATTAATATGTTCGTCCAAAGCCTGGATGTACGTTTGCACATGTTGGTCAACATCCTTGGCTGACTTTTCCACAAAGTTATTCCAGACGTTTTCGAATTCAACTCGATGAGCTTCAACCCTTTGCAGGGTCTGATGCATTAACTTCATATCTTGCCTTGTGTTGAGGACTGTCTCCCTGAGCAGAGCAAGTTGTGCTTCGGTTTCATAGGGATTTTCTTTTTGTGCTTCTAGTGCTTTCTGCAATTTCTCCCCTTCGGCCTGCAGCCTTTTCTTTTCCTCTAGTTCTTGCCGTCTGGAAGCTAACAATCTGGCATTCAATTCAGCCCTTTTTTCTGCCATCAGCAGGTTACGTTCAACGGTGTCTGTCACAGTGGCCAACTTGGCGACGAATGCATCTCGCTCTGCGTCAGTCTCTTTCAATGGCTCGCTGGAATAGTARTACCRCTCCCCCCAATCCAACGGCTCAACGGGAAGCCGGCTACTACTCTCAGGGATGTCATGAYGRCGTCTTTGCAATGGCTGTTCTTCCTCCTGTTCTTCTACTTCACTTTCTTCTATACTCTTCAATTCTTCCTCCAACTCTCTCTCCATCTTTTCCTTCATCTTTTTCCTTGCCTCTTCTTCTTTCTGTTTCTTCTTTGCTTCTCTCTCCTTTTTCTTCTTACGRTCTATCTCTGCCTGCTCCGCAGGTGTAGGGTCAGGCTTCACTGTTCCAGACCGCATCAGCATGCGGGACGTGCACACACGCCCGAACCCCAGTGGGAACATAAGCCGGAACAGCGGCCCCATCAAGACAGAAAGGGCCAACAGGCCCTGGATGGGATAGTCATCCATGATGACTACCGGCACAGCGGAGCCTCCGCCGGATCACCAAGGTACTATCCCACTAAGTTCCTGAGCTGCGGTGACTGGAGTACTGTACCTTTTTTTTTTTTCCGTTTGACTATAGAAGGTGTTGCGTACAGCCAACAATAGATTGAATTGAAACGAACTATATGTATATATTTTTTTCTTTTTTTCTTTTGATGTGTTGTCTGGCCTCTTGGATCGAACTTTTGGTGATGTGTTTCTATTGTCCTGCTTTCTCTTTTTTTTTTTTTTTTTGGTACTAACTTGGCTGGTTGCTGGGTGCAGATATGGAGTATAGCACAGAGAAGTCAGATGCAATTGGTTCACTTACCCATCCTGGCTGAGATACTTCGTATACCCTGTTCTTTCTTTCGGGCTTAACAGGCCCGGGAGATACTCAATATCATCCTTATACTGCCTGGTACATGCTATCTGATGTGGCACATTGCCACTTCCCACATCGATCCTTGGTTCTCGATGACGATACCCAGCCTGCCTATTAAGAGGGATAGGAGAGAGACCTACTCCTATTCGCAGAACAATGGACCACCTACTCTAGTGTGACCAATTCCTGACACATCACACTTGGATCATCAGACTCTGACGGCTCAGACCTGACAGCTACGACACCCCAGATCCAGACTTCGACTGACCAGATCAGCAGCAGTCACCTTCAGAGGGTCAGAGAGAGAAGGTAGGGGACACACACATGCATGCAGGTTCAGGGAAAGGAGGTG